ATGTCGAGTAAAACTATGGAAAAGCAATGGAAAAAAATGTGGCTTCGATGTGAGACTATTAGCGATGGAAAAGCAATGGAAAAATCGAGGGACTATGATGAAGAAGTGGAGTAAAACAATGGAAAAACAATGGAAAAACAATGGAAAAATTGCGGCTTTGATGTGGGACGAAATTGATACCAAGTAAAATAAGAGTAAAATGACGGAAATTGATGGGATGGAAACACAATGGAAAAATTGAGGCTCCGATGTGGGACCATTATCGCGTAAAGCACGCGTGAGACAATGGAAAAACAATGGAAAAATTGCGGTTTCGATGTGTGACCACTATGGAGTAGAAGCACGGAAATAAAACCATGGAAGAAACGAGCAAAACCGTTTATACGGTGCAACGGTAGGGCTTGTGGGAGGTGCATTTGGGTAAGCGTTAGACACACTGAGATAATATAAGGGTAATGATGGAGAAATCGAGTAACACCATGGCAAAACACGGGAAAAATTGATGAAATGGAAGGATAAATTGATAGAGACATCGCGTAAACTATGGGACGATTGAGTAAAACTGGAGGAAAAACTGTGAAAGGGTCACTGGGGAGACTGGAATGGAGGGGAAAATGATGTCGAGTAAAACTATGGAAAAGCAATGGAAAAAACTGTGGCTTCGATGTGAGACTATTAGCGATGGAAAAACAATGGAAAAATCGAGGGACTATGATGAAGAAGTGGAGTAAAACAATGGAAAAACAATGGAAAAATTGCGGCTCTGATGTGGGACGAAATTGATACCAAGTAAAATAAAAGTAAAATGACGGAAATTGATGGGATGGAAACACAATGGAAAAATTGAGGCTCCGATGTGGGACCATTATCGCGTAAAACACGCGTGAAACAATGGAAAAACAACGGAAAAATTGCGGTTTCGATGTGTGACCACTATGGAGTAGAAACACGGAAATAAAACCATGGAAGAAACGAGCAAAACCGTTTATACGGTGCAACGGTAGGGATTGTGGGAGGTGCATTTGAGGACCTTCGCAGCCTACTTCTGCACCTTTCAGCTTTGCCCGCTGCAGCGAGACAAAAGCTCGTGCGTTCCTGGCACCACCTCTCCTCGATCTACTCTGTTTCCCGCATCCTCCCTCTTCCTCTCCTTCTTCTTCGCACCCACCTTCGCACTCCCCTGGCTTTCGTTCCTCCCTTCTCAGGTTCGTCTTGTGAGATGTGCAGTAGGGTGAACCATGCAGGCGAAGCGTCAGAGCCCGCAAGCGCCACAACCCAAGGCCTTTCTGCTTATTTGGTCACTTTTGTTTGCATCAGAATTCGTTGATGATGTTGCACCAGCTTGGCATACAGCAGGCCGAAAGAGAGACTCTTGCAGAGGCTCACATTTCTTCTTTGGCCAACACTTCTATGCGGCCCTGTACATTATTTTACATTTTACATTGAATCACGACAAACTTTGCAGGTTGAGGTCGCGGCAAAAACGCCAGATGTGGTTGCCGCATTCTCAGTAAAGCATGGAACTACAGTATGAATCAGTATGAAATTTGAAAGCGTTGCATGTTCACTTCTGCTCTACCCTAGAAGCCCGAAGCAAGTGTTTGGTTTTGGTGCCTGGTTGGGGCCTACAATCCTGGGGTGGACACAAATGATCTTCTGAACTGCAGGGTGCCATGCTGCTATAGACAATTTTCAGATCATTGCATTCCACGTGAAAATTGTGATCCACAGCGACAGTCTTGCTAGAGTCTTGCTTTTGGCAGTTTCTTGTGAATGAAGGGTCGAGGCGGTAGTAGCACCTTTGTGCGTAGGTTTTCGTCAGTTTCGCTTCCCCGACCAGTTGTTTTGATAGTCTTGATATACATCACGCCTTTCAAGTTGTGCTGTCCATCTGGCTTGAAATCGAACCAAGGTAGTTGAGGCAGAAACGAATGTCTCGGCTTTGATCCAGGAAGCAGAACCGAAGCTTCCTTCGGTTGCAGTCAGTCAGGACAGCTTTGCTGCTTTGCAACACAAACGAAGGGTAAGACAGACATTATTTGCATGTGATACTCTTTTCTGATATTTTTGGTATTTTTTCTTTATGTTCGTCTTGTGAGATGTGCAGTAGGGTGAACCATGCAGGCGAAGCGTCAGAGCCCGCAAGCGCCACAACCCGAGGCCTTTCTGCTTATTTGGTCACTTTTGTTTGCATCAGAATTCGTTGATGATGTTGCACCAGCTTGGCATACAGCAGGCCGAAAGAGAGACTCCTGCAGAGGCTCACATTTCTTCTTTGGCCAACACTTCTATGCGGCCCTGTACATTTTTTTACATTGAAACACGGCAAACTTTACTCTCTCCAAAACTTGCCTTGAGCTGCCTAGCTACCCACAGAAAAATATGAATAACCTGATGCCAAGGTAGTGAAACATGTCAAAACAGTGGGATTGAGGCCATATTAGTTTAAAGCGTTTGACATTATCCTTTCTAAGGTGAAATCGCACCCGATAGTCTAACGGTCTAGCATAGCCTCTTTTCCAGCCAATACAGCCAATACCTACCATGTCAACATGACAAAAGGACAAGCCAAGTTAGGTGGACAACACTTGTATGGCTTGGTGTCCCCGCAGCTGAATTCTTGGACCTGTTGTGTTTCCCTGCAATCATTTGCTCTATTGAATCCAGATTTCCTGGGTTTTCCCTTCAAATTGGGTCTTCCTGGTCTAAATTCTAAATTGTCGGCACTTCGGATGGTTCAGGGGATGTTTAGGTGATTTTTGCAGCCAAGTGTGTGTGATCCCATGAACTTTAAATGCCCGACAAACATCCAAACAGTGTGTTTTTTGGTTGCGTCGCCCCTCGTTGCGTACCTGAAGCCTCTGGTTGCTTTTCCACAGTGGCTCCTCGCAACTGGGACCTGTCGTGGCTGTCACCGTTGCGCCTCCTTGCCTTCCATGCCTGTCCTCTGTAAAAGCTGTCCCTGCTCCTCGGCACTTCTGGCATTTGTTCTGTTCCCTGCTTTCATTCCCCATGATGGCCATATGGGGCAAAAGAATTACCGTTTTGCTTGGCTTCGGTGGGTTTCATCGTGTTTGGGTGGGAAACCCAAACAACATGACAAAACCAAGGATGAGCTGGGTTTTGCTGGCAACCTCCCATGGTTGCATATGACTTGTGAAAATCCATGTTAGCCACTTCACTTTTGGATTTTGTTCGATGTGATCTGGATCTTCACCGCCTGCCGTTTCCAATCGTACATGTGGAGAATCCTATCCCAAGAGCTATGTTAGGTAGATTTCTCTGAGAAAACGCATATTCTCCACCGTTTTCGCTTTCTTTGGGAAGTTTCTGGGTTCTTTCTTTATTAGTAGCCATTCTTTCCATTTTTGTTGAAATGAGGGCGGCCTGACAGGATGTCTTGCAAGGGGAAAAGGAAACAATATTGATGAAAGGGATGAACACAAGTGCTGACATAGCCTCCTGTAAGCAACTGGCCAGACTTGCAGATCATGGATAGGGGCTGATAGAGGCTATGTTAGCAGGATCTCTGCTTGCCCAGGATAGAGTGAACTTCCCCAGGAGAAATGCAATGATTTTGGTTGTTTTCCACGAAAAATCGTTGACATGTTGGATGTAGCTTTGAAAAAGGGGACATGTTTAAATGCACACTATTTTTTGAACCCAAATTCCCCAAGGAAACCCTCTTTACAATGAAGACTTTGTTTGTTACAGCAATTCCCGAGAGCGTCTGAGCGAAGGGTTCTTCTAATAGTGGGGGTCTGTCAAACCCTTTCACATCTTCACATCTTCACATCTTCACATATCATCTTCAAATCTTCAAATCTTCACATCTTCTCATCCTCACATCCTCACATCTTCACATCCTCATATCTTCACATCGTCTCATCTTCACATCTTCTCATCTTTTCATCTTCACATCTTCACATCTTCTCATGTTCACATCCTCACATCATCAACCCTCTTCACATCTTCTCATCTTCTCATCTTCTCATCTGTTGTTGTTGTTGTTATTATTGTTGTTGTTGTTGTTGTATACAACCGATTTTGTTCGCGCGTGTTAATGTTTGTTGATGCACGTACAGTTTGAAGTTTGTTGACTGCTTGGTCTCTGTTGAAGCACCTTGAAGCAATGTTGCAGTCCTTGCAGTAATTCACTCTGTTGTCGTGTTTTTCAATAGGTTGAGCTCTGAAGATTTTGAAGCAATGAAGGGAAATCAAAACCTTCAGGCATTTCGTGACTGCGTTGGTCACAAAAGCCTGTAGATTTTGCCATTCTTGGCATATTGTCGGCTCTGATTTTTTCCGTGAAGGTGACGGCAGAGTCCTCTGCTGGATTTCCACCATCACCAGGGTTTCCAGAAAGCTCTGCGGAAAAGGAGCTTTTGGGTTTAGATGATGTTCTGTCAAACTCTTCAAGACATGCAGAATTATGGGTCGCTCTATGCCACTTTTTCGCACAGTCCCCATCCAAAAATTAGCAGCAATGTTTTCCTGCAAACCAGCAATATCAATATCCAACAATGACATGAGAACATCTAGCGGCCCAGTCACACTGCTTGTAGATTTACTGATATCTATTGATATTTTTTTGTAGATGCACGATCATACATGTGTGCAAAGGCCTTTGGACTTTGGACGCTCCCAACATGCCCAAGTCTTGTGAATGATCCGAACATGCAGGACTTCGTGTTTCACTTCGTGACCAAACTACGCAAGATTCGCGAAGAACAACTTGAAGAAATCATTCGGATTTCGAAGGAGCTTGGAAGCTTTGAGCCTGGATCCTTTTGGTATCCCTTTGGTTCTGAATTACCGGCTTATGGCTGATCTTCTATAAGAATTGTCCTTTTGTCCGAACTCCCACTCAGACTCATGCATCTCAGTCCAGACAGAATCAATTCTCAAAGGCTGACCGGCTGTTTTTTTCTACTTTGTGATGCTGATGTTTCGTGTCGCTTTTGCAGGAGCGCGACGAATGCAGCGAAGAGATTGCCCGAATGCGTGGTCTGGAAGAAAACCACGAAGCAGAGATGTCCCAGCTGGCTAAGGACAGTCAGGCTGTCTCCAGTTTCACATGAGAAAATTGACATAGGTATGGGTAAATCTATGGCACCTTTTCGCACAGTTCGAATCCGAAAACATAGATTTTCTGCAGTGCAGCAATATCCAATTATATTAAGTAATGCCAACATCTATAGCGGCTCAGTCACACTGCTTCGTAGATTGATTGTTTATTAGTGCATTATCAGTCAGGATCATACATGTATGCAAAGGCCTTTGGAAGCTCCCAGCCGCCCAAGTCTTGTGAATGATCCCAACATGCAGGAGTTGGATCACTCCAGGGCCCGAGCGAATGATCTCCAGAAAGCTCAAGAAGAACAACTTGAAGAAAACATTCGCCTTTCCAAGGAGCTTGAAAGTTTGCAGCCTGTTGGTATCCCTTTGGTTATGGTGCATTATTGGCTGCTCTAGTGAGAGCATGAAAGAACTGCCCTTATTTTTCCAATTCCCACTCAGACTCATGCATCTCAGTCCAGACAGAATTAATTTTTGACAGGCTGACCGGCTGATTTTTACTTTTTGATGCTGATGATCATACAATATCATACATGCCCGCCCGACATGCAGGAGCTGGATCGCTGCAAAGCATTGGCGAGGGTCTCAAGAAAACCGAAGAACAGCTTGCCGAAATCATTTCTATTTCTCAGGAGCTTGAAATCATGTTGCACTTCTGGAGGTCGACAGTCTGGAGCGGCTGTGGCTGGCCGCAGCCAAATAGAAAACGCGTGCGGTTTCACACAAACATTCCACACACACACAAACACAAACACACACACACACACGCACAATAAACGACTCATATATGTTCCACGGCCGTTTCGTTGCTGAGTTTTGGTTTCAGTTCAAATCGTGAAACAATTGTGAGGTGACCAGTGGCCTCACGCAAACAGCATGTGAAATGGCCAGTGCCAAACGCCATTTCCAATCTTCTGGCAATTCCTTGGGAGCGTGGAGAATGGAGAACAACAGTGTTCGTTTCTTGCTGACGCTACAGCATGGATTACAGATGTGTAGCATGACGTGAGCGCAATACAAGTCAAATGGTTGCAACTGCGTTTGCTGATTCGCCATTGCGATGACATTGATGGCCTTTTCGGAAGCCAGGTGCAGCGCTGAGTTTTCCATCACGTCGTTCTGGTTTTTCCATACATACACAGTCCATACACCGATCCATTTTCCTTGGGATTCTTTTGCGATTGTGCTTCGCAACTGAAAACCAATGTCCATTGCATTGCGATTCGTGTGTTGAAAACTTGCGCATATGCAAAATTGACATTTTGACACTGGGGTTTTGCGTCGATAAAAAACAACATGGTTTGATAATATGCTGGTGCAACGGAAAGCAACAATTTTGTTTGTGTGTGCAGAATGACTTTACTGATTGTGACGATGGGAAACGTCATGACGATGAACCTGGTGATGGATAGGTATATGATGAAAACATGATCATGCCGATGATGATGATGATGATGATGATGATGATAGTGGTGATGACATTTGTTTGGTCTTTTCAGAAACGGTGCAGTCCTTACCTGTATGAATTCTCATGTTTTTTTTTCGGCTTGTGATGGTCAAAATCAACATCAACATCAGCATTTTCGATCCATTTTGTTTGTGGTCGTTCTTGCAGCTGCAAAGGCGCCCGCAGTCAGCCGCGCAAGGCTTTTTGCAACTGAAAACCAAGAATGTCCAGTGCATTGCTACTCCCATGTGTTGGAAACGTGCAAACGGCAAAGAGTATGAAGATGAACACGATGATGATGAACATCAAGACGATGTGCATGATCATGATCATGACCATGACGATGAACATGAACCTGCCATGATACTGGTAAGGTGTTCGTGGTGACGGTGTTGTTGCCATGACGGTGATGGTGGTAATGGAGGTAATGGAAAAAAGGTGCAACCAACATGTATGACAATGACAAACAATGTGTTGGTAACCAGGATTGTGGAACATCTGGTTTGAATGATGCTTCAATGTTTCTCACATGTCTTCTGTGGCATACTTTGGCCTTCCCATGCCTTCCCTGACCAACGGGTTGTGTAGGTCTTCGTCAGCAACTCCGAAACCTACCGTACGTGGCCGTCACTGAAGGCAGTTGTATGCAACGGCAAACAAGAATGAACCAAATAATTTTAGGACACAGTGGCTAGAGTGACCATGGGAAGTCTCCCACGCATGGGAAAATCATCGAACTAAATGAGGTCAACCATGGTTTTTTGCTGGACTTCTGCTAGGACAGCGCTTTGGCGGACGGCCTCAGCATGGCGAAGGCATTGTGAAATCAGATCTTTGGGCATTTTACCCGTGAGAGTTTGGAGAGTTTCGAGAGTTTCTACTTTTAGTGCCCTTTCCTCAACATTGTTTTTAATTAAACCCGTGGCATGCAAGACCGATTTAACACGGGTCAAACCCTATACATCCCTATACATACACCACATTTGTGGCATGGACACAAATTTGCCAACTACTTTAATGCTCACTGGGGTACCAGGGTTTTGACCCATTGCCATTTCTTCATAAGCTTGAGTTCCATGCCACAGGTGCACGGACAAAGTCCGTTGACAAAGCTTCCGAAAGCATTGCGCATTTGGAACGCGTGCGGGCACCCGAAGCGTCAATGAAAGGATATCCTTTTTTTGGTCAGCGTGAATCATAGACAGACTGCGTGGTTCTTGTATGTTTTTGCCATGTACTATACGTACGTATGTATCTATACTGGTATGGAGAAGAAGGAATCATGCAACAGTAGACCTAACTGAGCCAGCGGGTGAAGACTCTAAACTAAAATGCAACTATGGGGAAAGGAAGTCCTTGAAGCCCCGTGATGGCCACAATGATGGCATTCGTTCGTGATTGTGCTCATCACTCAGGGATCATCAGTATGCTGAGCAAGAGGAGATTTGTGCACATCAGGTCTTCGCATGAAACCCTCGTTGTCAGTCTTGGCACTTCGGAATGAACCTCACATCTGAAGCTTCTTCAATCTTTGAAAGTCTTTGAACGAGCTCCAGCTCTCTAGATCTTCTCCATGATTGCTTTAGTTCCCCACTCAACGCTTTAGTTTTAGTCGTTTTCTAATTTTTAATGTTGCATGATTTCCAGCCTCCTTGCTCAAGTCCGATTCTTTCACCAGTACGCCAAGTTCACTCGGATAAACAGTGCACTGGGGAACAGTGGGGCTTCTCTAAAAACGGGGTACCCCGACATTCCCATGGTTCATCATGAGGTATCTACAATTGCCATCAAATTGCGATAAACGGCCAAGGTTTTGACACACTGAAATATTGATTGTTGGTTATCCCAGTTATCCCCAATAGATCTCCATTATAATATATCACCATTTTCCCTAGTTGAGTCCCAAGTTTTAGACACACCCAGTGCTGCGATCGCAGATGGCTGAGCGTGGAGACCTGCCGCCAGTGTCTGAAGCCTAGAAGTTAGGCTTTTCTGACCTTTTCTGATATCGAAAACCGTATGGAAAATATGCAAATCATCGGAAAGGATGTGATTTTGATGGTTGACCAGAGTTTATAGCAGAGTTTTATCATCGCTTTTATATTTATCAATGTAAAAATCTGTAAAACCATGTAAAATCGGGTCCTTCCCCCGTTCTTGGTGAAAGCCATATTCAGTCAGAATTGCTCGGATCTACCGTGGCTCCCAGGTGTTTGCTGCTGCGGTGTTTACAGCACCTGGGGTCCCTTGAGTTGGGCTGTGTGGGTGGCGATGCCCTCCTGTGGATGGTGCGCTGCCACTGCCATGGCTGAAGTGACGATTGATACACTCTCAGTTTCCAGTGGCTGCAAATACCCCATACCAATATAGAAGTGGAAATGAAATCATATCAGAAGTCGGATTTTTGAAGGGTATGGCCGGTATGGCTGGTGTTTTTCCCCAACAGCAAAACTTTGCTATGGGGTCTTTAGCCCAGATTAGCTCTGGTGCGATCCGGTGCAGCTTCAACACCAGGTTCCGGGCAAGGTTCCGGGGTTCCGGAGGGTTCCGGTGCAGATGGCGCAGAGACCAGGGATAGGTACAGCTTTTCATAGGAATGTTTCATATACCTGTCCGCAGCATCATTGCATGGTTGTACGTGATTGTCACGAAAGCCAGCCGCTAGGCTAGGCGAAGTTCTTTTTGCGAACAAAGTGAGTTAAGGGGGTCTGGGGGCAGAGCGCCCCAAACCGGCCAAAAATGAGGAAATTAGGTGGTAAAAAAGGTGGCCACAGGTAAACTTTTTTAGGGTTATGTACCAGGTGGCAATTGGGTGACGTTGGGGTATCGATTCCCCCCTGGTCCGCCCTCCGAGGTGGATCTGGGCAGATTGCAATGGAGGGGAAAATGATGAGAAAAACAACAGAAAAAATGAGGGAATATGACATAAAACAATGGGAAAAAAATGGGAAAGGAGGGGAAAATGATGAGAAAAACAATGGAAAAAAGGAGGAACTTTGACATAAAACAATGGAAAAAAATGGGAAAGTAATGGAAAATTTGAGTAGAACGCTTGGAAAATTGATTAAAACGCGAGGCGAAACGGTGGAAAGAATAGGGAGAGGGTAAAATGATGCCAAGTAAAATTGAGGCTCCGATGTGGGACCATTATCGCATAAAGCACACGTGAAACAATGGAAAAGCAATGGAACAATTGCAGTTTCGATGTGTGACCACTATGGAGTAGAAGCACAGAAAAAAAACCATGGAAGAAACGAGCAAAACCGTTTATACGGTGCAACTGTAGGGATTGTGGAAGGTGCATTTGGGTAAGCGTTAGACACACTGAGATAATAGAAGGGTAATGATGGAGAAATCGAGTAACACCATGGCAAAACACTGGAAAAATTGATGAAATGGAAGGATAAATTGATAGCGTAAAATATGGGACGATTGAGTAAAACTGGAGGAAAAACTGTGAAAAAAACACTGGGGAGACTGGAATGGAGGGGAAAATGATGTCGAGTAAAACTATGGAAAAGCAATGGAAAAAAATGAAAAAAATGTGGCTTCGATGTGAGACCGTTAGCGATGGAAAAGCAATGGAAAAATCGAGGGACTATGATGAAGAAGTGGAGAAAAACAATGGAAAACATATTGGAAAAATTGCGGCTCTGATGTGGGACCGCAATTGGGTGACGTTGGGGTATCGATTCCCCCCTGGTCCGCCCTCCGAGGTGGATCTGGGCAGATTGCAATGGAGGGGAAAATGATGAGAAAAACACTAGAAAAAATGAGGGAATATGACATAAAACAATGGGAAAAAAATGGGAAAGGAGGGGAAAATGATGAGAAAAACAATGGAAAAAAGGAGGGACTTTGACATAAAACAATGGAAAAAAATGGG